CAGAGTGAATTCTACAAAACATATGAAAAATAAGTATCAATTCTGTTCAAACCTTTACATGAAAACTGAAGAACGAGAGACTATACTTTCAAACTCATTCTATGAGGAAAGGATTACTCTAATACTGAAGGAAGAAACAGACTACAAGAAAATTATAGATCAGATCTCTTCTGAAAATTAATTTTAAAATTCTCAAGAAAAAGCTGGCATGGGTGCCTTTAATCCTAGCACTTGGAAAGTGAGATGAAGGCCATCCTAGTCTACATTGTGAGCTTATCAAAAGGATTATACAACGTAACTCAGTGGGATCTTTTACTGGAAGGCAAATTGGTTTAACTTATGAAAACTGAACAATGTACTACCATACATTAACAGAATAAAGGGGAGGAAACAATTTTCAAAGATGCAGAAAAACTTTGACAAAATTCAATATGTCATTATAAAAATCTATCATTGATTTACACATCTGTGAACATTATCTTCAACACTGAAAGACTGAAATCCATTATTTTGATATCAGGCAAAAGGTAAGGATGCCCAGTTTCATTACTTCTATTGAACATAGCCCTGGAAGTTCTAGTCAAAGCAGTTAGTTGACTTTTGAAAAAGAAGGGGTGGAGGGTTGGGTAGATCACTCAGTTGGTAAAGTGCTTACTATGCAAGCACAAAGACCTTAGTGAAAAGCTTGGCATAGTGGTAAATGTTTGTAATTCTAGTTCTGGGGAGGCAGAAACAGGCCTACCTTGCCTAATGAGCAAGTTCAAGATCCCAGTGAGGGACCTCCTGAAAAAAAAAAAAGTGGATGCTTCCTGAAGAATAACACCAAGTTGACCTATGACCTTAACATGACATGAACACACATACACACGCACACATATCAACATACACAGTATTCAAATTTAAATCAAGTATTTTATTTAGATATAGATTAGTATAAAGAAAAAGCCTGGTGTGTAGAAAACTCTAAAGATTTCATTTTAAAAAGTTAGACCAGATAAAATATTGAGCAAACCAGAAAGATATATATAAAATCAAATTCAATCCTACACACTAACAATGAACAATCTGAAATGAATTATGAAAACAATTAATGACAGCATCCAAAAGAATAAAATACTTAGGAATTAACCAATGATCCAAAAGACATGTACAATTAAAGCAACAAAGTATAGAAAAAAATCAAGCAAGGTCTGAGGAGATAGTTTAGCTTGTCAAAGAGCCTGAGGACAAGTCGGATAGCCAGAGTTTGCTCCCTGGAATCTACATAGTGAAGGAGAGAACGGACTCTCACAAGTTGTCCTCTGACCTCCACATACATGCCATGGCACATGTGCCCATAAGCACTCATGCACACATACTCATGCACACAGAAATCAATAAATAATAAAATTGTTTATAAATTGAACAAGAATCTGGAGAGAGATCAGAGGGTATGAGCACATATTTCTCCTGTAGAGGACCTAAGTTCAGTTCCCAGCACCCACACTGGACAGCTCACTATCAGATGTAACTCTAGCTTTAAGGGATATGACACGCTCTTCTGGCCTCCATGTGTACCTGTACTCACCTTCACAAACACATACACAGAAAGAAACACACATATTAATTAAATAATAAATATTATTAAAAATAATTCATTTAAAATAAAATAAAAATTACTAAAGAAAAATTAAAACAAATTAATGGAAAAATCATACCATGTTCATGGGAGACTTAATAATTTGGGGACATCAGTACAACAAAGCAACCTACAGATTCAGCATACCCTTCTCAACCTTCTATTAATGATTTTTCAGAAATGGAAAACTGTATTAAAATACATATGGGATCTCAAGTAACCTATGTAGCCAAAACATTCTTGAAAAAAACAATAAAGATGGAAAAGTCATACTTCCTCACTTCAAAACTTACTGCAAAGACAGTAGTATCAAAATAGTATGGTACAAGTATAATTACAAACATAATAAATCATAAAAGCAAGAAAAAAATCCTCAACTATTTCAATGATTTTTGATAAGGACCAGGCAGTCTTTCCAACAAATGGTGAGTAGAAAATGGAACACCCATATAATAAACAATGAATATGATCCCTTAGTTAACAATAATGAAAAAATTAACTCAAAATGGATCAAAGATCTAAATGTAAAACTAAATCTACACAACTCTTAAAAAAACATAGAAGAGCCTTATGATGCTTGTTTGAGCAATGATTCCTTAGATATGAAATCAAAGACACAGACAACAAATTAAAGAGTAAGTAAATTGGCCTTCATTAAAATTGAAACATTTATTTTATTTTCTGTTATGCATTACCTGATCCATGACTGATTGGGGGATGGCAGCTTAAGAAGTCAGAGATATGTAGTACAAGAAGGGGACTTAAAAAAAAGACATCAATGAAGTAAAAAGGTAACCCACACAACATAATAAAATAGTTGGAAATCATTTATCTGATAAGAAATTGATATGTAGGTGTAATGGCTAATCCTGGGTGTCAATTTGACTAGATCTAGGATTAACTGAAATGAGAGAAATCTTCTTGATTGGATCATCTGAAGCTGATGGCAGCCTGTATAAAAGGCCATGGCAGAAGGGAGAACTTGCTTTTTGCCACTTGCCGTCTCTTTTACTGGCGAGTTCATTTTCTGCTGTCGACTGATGACTAACAGATCTCTTGGAATTTGTCAGACCTTCAATGCCAGATTGGGACTACTGAGACATCCAGCCTCATGGACTGAACAACTACTGGAGTCTCAGCTTCTCCAGTGTGGTGCAGCCACTGTTGGACTACTCAGACTCTATCCTGTAAGCTAATCTGATAAATCCCTACAATATATCTGTATATTCATTCTACCAGTTCTGTTTCTTTATAAAACCCTGACAAATACAGTAGGGTATATAGAAAACTTCTAAAATTCACCAGTCAAAATAACGAAAAAAAAGGAGACAAAAGGAATCAAAGCAGGTATCAAATACCTGTATACACATATACTATATACAACAGCTAAAATGTGGACACAACTCAGGTTCATTCAATGCAAATGTATGAACAGGTAAGCAAAATGTACATAAAGTAATGTATATACATACTGTAAAATATTATTCAACCTATAAACCAAGATATTCTGGTGTATGCTGTAACAATGAGGAATTTAAATGCACTATGCTAAGTGGAAAAGGTTAGCTGCAAAAATAGAAATATGATATGATTCCACTTAGGTATCTACAGTGGTCAAAAATCACATGCAGAAAGGTGGTTGCCAGAAGAGAAGGAAGGGATGAACAAGAAATCATGGCTCAATTGAGTACAATTTCAGTTTCACAAATAGCTGTAAATATGGATGGTAGTGACAGTTATACATTATGAAGGTATTGAATTTCACTGAATTATGCATTCATAATTGTTGAGGATAATAAAATTTATGGTTTGTGCATTTTGCAAAAAAAAAAACAAAAGAAAGAAAAAAACATGTGATACTGCATTTGCTAAACTGGAATTTCTAAAATTAAAATGTGTAACTGCATCAAGTGTTGGTCAGAACTCTCATTCACTGTTGGCACAAGTTTATCCCAGTTTGAAAAACTGTTTTAAAAAGTTAAACTGGTGGGGTATGGTGGCATGTACCACCTCCCATTCAGGAGGCAGAGACAGGCGGATCTCTGAATTCAAGGGGAGCCCGGAATACATAGCAAATTTCAGGCCAGCCAGGGGTACACAGTGAGCTCGTCTCAGAAAAAAAAAATAGTTTAACATGTCAGGCATATAGGAAGCCTGGGAGGCAAGAGGATAAAGAATTCAACATCATCCTTGGCTACATAGGAATTTTGAGGCCAGTCTGGGTTAAATAATAAGCAAGTCTTAGACAAAAGAAGATGGCATATTTTCTCTCACTAAGGACTCTAGAAGAAAACATTAATACATAAAGTATTATATAAAGCTTTTCTGGAAGGAAAAGGGACTATGGGGAGGGGGAGGAGAAAGGGTAAAACAGAGTATGCATGATCAAAGTGCTTTCTCTGCATGGATGAAAATTTTACAATAAAACATTTCATATAATTAATGTATGCTCTTTAATAAAAGTTAAACATGGGGCAAGAGAGATGGTTTAGTGGGTAAATGTGCTTACTGCCAAGTCTGAGGGACCTTAGTTTGAGCCCCAGAACCCACCTGATAGAAGTAGAGAACCAACTCCTGTAAGTTGTCCTTTGACCTCCATATGTGTGCCATTGGAAGTACAGGTGTGCATGTGTGCACACACCCTCACAGAATAAAAAAAAAACTTTCAAAGACGTTAAACATAAACCTATTGTATAACTGCCAACCCACTTCTGGTATTTACAAAAACAAAAAACAAAAAACCTGAAAGAAAACATGAGCACAAACCTTATAAATAAATTCTCACAACAGTGATCCTTGAATTGACAAAAACTAGAAGAAAACAAATGTCTGTTGATACATATCTGGATAAGCAAACTATGGTATTTCCACACAATGGTATAGTTCATGAAAACAAAAAGGAAGAAACTACCAGTACACACAACATGGATGAAATTCAAATTATGATGAGTAAAAGAAGATGAGTACAACCTATATGATCCCATTCATGTAAAGTTCTGAAAATTCAAATATCTACAGTGAAAACAAACAGAGCAGCAACTTCACATTTCCAGATTTGGAGGAAGAGATGAATTACAAAGAGCGACTATTTATGAAAGTTCATTGTACTCAGAGTTTGAGGGATGCACACATGGTAAAGCTCATGCAATTGGATATGTTACAGTTGCGATCTTATTCTCTGCCAAGCACCTCTCAACAGACCTACAAAAATATACTGTTCATGGGCTCATCATAATGTATGATATTGTGCCTAATAACTTTTAAGTAAGCCAGTAAAACATTCTTCTATTCTAGAATAAATAAACAATTGGATAACTTCTATTAATATACCTAACAACTGAGAAAACATTTGAATCTTTAAATGTTTACAGCCAGCACATACCTTAGCTTCCTCTTCTTGTGCTTTTTTCACAATTGCCTGTAGCTGTACCTCTCGTTTAAACTCAGCATGAAGTAATTTCTCCTCCATCATTCTACGTCGTTGATCTAGTAATTCTTCTTTCCACTTTCGGACATCTTTCTCCTGTGTATGACAAATGATCACATCATTAACTTTAAAATATACAGTAATTCACCCAGGCGTTGGTGGCGCATGCCTTTAATCCCAGCACTCGGGAGGCAGAGGCAGGCGGATCTCTGTGAGTTCAAGGCCAGCGTGGTCTACATAGTGAGTTCCAGGATGGCTGGGGCTACAGGGAGGCCCTGCCTCAAAAATACCAAAAAAAACCCCAGTAATTCAACAGAACTATAAATAGGTAAAGGGCTTATAAAACATACAGTTTAAGCCTGGAAAGAGTCATAGGAGTATAGCTAATAACTATACTATAATAACTAATAACTAAAGACAAAGACTATACAGCCAGATTACTAGCTTCCATAATTCAATGACCACTTAGTAGCTGTGTACCTTTGCCAAAATTTTTAGCTATTGTCTGTTTTCTTATCTATAAAAATGGAATAATACTCAGCCCTGAATAGTAAATTGATACCACCTTCTCTAAGGCTCAGGAACATCATGGAAGAGAAGATGGAAACAACGTAAGAGCCAAATGACAGGGAGAAGGGCTGCACAATACTGTCTTCTGGGCATGACATGGTCACTGGAATCATGAACTCAGCAGGTGAGGTTACCTGCACTGGACCTACACAAGACCAGGCCTGTCAACAGCTATTGATGGATGGGGAAAGGGATGATGGGCCCCCACCTCTCCCCGGAGAACCATTTGCTATATGTAGTTGGATGACAGGGGAAGGGGAATCACTGTTCAGTTGTGTACCCACAGGTGAATCCACCCATCCTTCTATGGAGAGTTCCACACCCACAGTCATAGGGATGGTCCTAGTAAAACTCAGTGGGTCACAAAATAAAAAGACATGAATGTGCGAAAGGAAGTTGGGGAAGGGTGGTAAACAGAGGTGGAGAGAAACAAAATAGGGCAGGGGGCGATCTTATCAGATCTAATCAGAATGCATATATGCATGTATGAACTTGCTAAAGATTAGATTAAATATATGTCATTAATAAAATCATGTTTCTAACAAAGGAGAAAGAAGGAAATAAAAATAGTACCTGATTAAATATTTTTGAGGGGAGTGGTGTTTTGAGACAAGGTCTTCCTGTAAACCCAGGTGGCCTAGAACGCACTATGTAGACCAGGCTGGCCTTAAACTGACAGAGATCCACCTGGCTCTACCTCCTGAGTGCTGGGAAATTTAACTACTGTATTTAAAAGGATCTCCTGTTATTTAGCTCATTTTTATAAGTATTCATATTATTTTGTCCAATTATTCTTCAGGAATGTAAATCTACACATAGCTTTTAGTTGTTCAAGTTCTAGAAAGTAACAAAGGAATCATGTCCCGTGTGAGGAAAGCAGCCTCTAAGACGGCTGGCAATGATGGAAGTCAATTGTTATTAACTTCCTTGTACAATGTCCCCCTCCATTATATCAGGGCTGAAAATCAAGAAACACCAAAATGATGATATCAAGACAGGACAGCATCCATTTTATCAACCCCCACGCATTCTTTCTTGTGCTTCTCTCTTTGACCCCCGATAACTGTGGGAAAATCACGAGCTGTTTAATGAAGACACCTGGATTGTAAAGAAGCCACCTGGCAATAAAACAGAGCTTTCTAGTCAAAAGCAAAAGAGAAGTTGAAGCATGCAAGCAACAGCAAGACTGAGTCTGGCTATGAGTCCTCCCTGATAACTGAAAGCTTGACTTAAATCCCATCAGAGGGGCTGGAAAGATGGCTCAGTGGTTAAGAACACTGGCTGCTCTTGCAGAGAACCTAGATTCAGTTCCTAGCACCACCCTCTAATAATAATAGTGGCTAAATATCATCCATAACTCCAATTCCAGGGGATCTGACACCCTCTCTGGCATCCATGAACATTGCATGTAAAGGCATATTTACATACATGCCAGCAAAACACTCATGTACATAAAATAAAAAGACATTTAAAATTTTTGTTTTTAAATCTCATCAGAGACCCAAAGCAAAAACCACTAGGTAATTCCTGGTTGTCACAGAAATTGCAAGTTAAGAAATATTTGCTCTTTTAAGCAGCTAAATTTTGAGCTTATTTGTAACATGACTAGATAATTAACCTAGTATTCATCGATGTCTGCCATACATCCATACATAGTGAGTTCCAGGACAGCTGGGGCTACAGGGAGACCCTATCTCAAAAAGACAAAAAAAAAAAAAAAAAAAAAAAAGAAAAAGAAAAAGAAAAAGAAAGAAAGGAAGGAAGGAAAGAAACAGTAAAAATAAAAGTAATCCTGTATCAAACATTCACCCTATCACAAGTTGGTGTTTTACATACCACATCTAAGCATCACAGCCCATCATTAACTATGTTTGTCATTTGACAGATAAAGAAGCTGAAATCTACAGGAAATAGAGTCCTTTGGACCAGAAGTGGTATGCTGGATCATATGGAAGATCTATTTCTAGTTTCTCTGAGAAAGAGCCACACTGATTTCCACATGCATACACCAGCTGCTACCTCCTCTAACACTGTTGTACATAAAGCTCCTTGTTCCCCACATCCTCAATAGTATTTGTTGTCTTTTGTTTTCTTAATCTTAGTCATTCAGACTGGAGTAGGATGAAATTTCAAAAGTAGTTTTAATTTGCATTTTCCTGATGTCTAAGGATGGTGAAAACGTAAAAAATATATTTCTTAACCATTTGTATTTCTTCTCCAGAGAAATCTCTGTTCAGTTCCACAGCCCACTTTTTAATTGGGCTGTTTTCTTGGTGTTTAGTTTTTTGAGTTCTTTGTATATTCTAGATACTAATTCCATGTCATATGTATAGCTGGCAAAGATTTTTTTCCATTCAATAAAATGCCTCTTCAGTTGATGAACAGTTTCCTTTCCAGTACAGAAGCTTGCCTTCTAATTTCATAAAGTCCCATTTGTTAATAATTGGTCCTATTGCCAATTATTGCCAAAGTCCTAGTCAGAAAGTCCTTATCTGAGCCTATACCCTGAAGTGTACTTCCAGCTTTTTCTTCTCAAAGTTTCAGTGTTTCAGATCTAACATTGACATCCTGGATCCATTTGGAATTTGTGTGCAGAGTGAAAGAGGATCCAGTTTAACTCTTCTACATCCTACTACAGAGACACTTACTAATCTATCTTTATAGCTACGCAATTCATAATGCCTAGGATATAGAAACAGTCTAGCTGTCCATCAACTAATGAATGGATAATGAAAATGTGGTACCTATACACAATGAAATTCATTCAGCTATAAAGAAAAATGAAATTATGAAATCTGCAGGAAACTGGAAAATATTATACTGAGTGGGGAAAGCAAGATCCAGAAAGGCAAATGTCAGATGTTCTAACTTATATGAGGATCTTTGCATCAAATCTTCAGATTTGTATGTTTAACTTGGGGTAGCTGTGGAGTTCAGGAAATTAGAAGGGGACCATTGGTAGGGAGAGAGAAGACAAAACATAAGAGAGGGAGACAGTAGAACACAGATGAAATGAAGAAAGAGAAAAATGAAAGGGATGTTTAAGTGGAGAGAGGGATGGGAGTGTGGGCAGAAGGATAACTAACATGAAGGATGTTCAAAAAAGCCATATGGAAACCTATTTTATAAAATTACATATATAAAAAAAATATATATATATGCAGAAAGAGAAACCCCCAAAACAATTTAGGCTATTGCCACTGCTCTAGGTTCCCCATCAAAAGTTGACTGTAGGACCTTATTGCTGAAGACATCACACACTTTGGCCACATGGCATGGAGAAATCAAGTTGATACTGAACAGGAATCTGACTCCTGCAGGCTAATTTTCATAGTACTGGAAGGTGTCATGTAAGCTGCTGGGGGGAAAACTCATCAACAGTCTTCCTCAGGTGGGAATCTTATGAGTTATAATAAAGACATGCATGGCAAGATAGGCTCGTGGGAATATAGTAGTATGAATGTTATATGCATTGGATTTAAAGCCTAATATGGGAGAAAACTGTGTTTGGCTCTCTCTGACCCACAGGCCTCTCTCCCAGTAGTACTCTGGGCCTGGCCCCACCCTCACCTCCTTCTACTTCCTTGGCCACGCACCACCCACCAGCCTCTTTCCTGGACACCTGGGCTGACCTTTCCTCTTCCTGATCCTTTGCATCCAGACCAACCCAGTTCCTCAGTGCAGTCCCCAGGAGCCCTTGGGGCCACTTCCCGCCCCCATCTTCCTTTGCATCTCTGGGTGCCATACACCAGCACCTTTCCAGGGCTTGGCTCCCAAGCCAGTCCAACCCCCAAATTCCTGAGGCCAAAATCTTTCCTGGAGGGATCCTGACCTTAGGAGAAAGCCTGAAAGCATCTGATCCTCATCTGACTTGGGCCTCTGAAGGAACTCCTGAAGACAAAAGAAATCTGGCCACTCCAATATAAAATCAAAAGAGAACAAGAAGCTTAGAGGAACCAGCTTTTCATGCCCAAAAAGTCAACCACAAAGACACATAAAGTTCATAAAAAGAAGTAGACCTAAAATTGAAGGCTTGAGTCTCACACAAGAATCAGAAACTACGAAACAAATTCACATGTCAAAATCACAGAGAAAAAATAATAACATGAAAAACCAAAATAACATATCCCCACCAAATACCAATAGTCCTCTAGGGGAGTACAATGAGACCCACCTAGAGATAATGCAGGACATGGAACTCAAAAGAACAATTATAAACATGATAAAAGAATTCAGTGAATTTAAAGAACACACAAAGAAACCAAAGAACTAAAGGAAGATAGGTATAAACTGCTAAAGGAATTCAGAAGAGTTAGAAATATTGAAAAATACTCAGGCTGAAATGAGGAAGGCAGTGAAACACTCAGTAAGCCAATAAGAAACGACAGGAGAAAGCCTCACCAATAGGATGAATGAAAAGGAAAACAGGGTATCAAGATTGGAAGATAAAGTGGACAAACTGGACCATTCAAGCAAAATTTAAGAAAGCACAAGAATGGAATATGCAGAAATTATGTAACTCCATA